AAATCCGAAAAGCATGCGGAACAGTTGCTGAAGTCTTTCAATGACGCACATGAGAATCTCCATTTCACTTGTAAACACGAACTCGGAAACCGGTTACCTTTCTTGAATGTAGAGATTATCGGTAACTCGGATGGATCATACAGGAGAAAGGTACACAGAAAGCACACATGGACTGGGCAATACACTAACTTCCACAGCGCGGTACCACTACAGCATAAGTGGAGTTTAATCAGATGTCTCGCCTTCAGGGCGCGCAGTATTTGTACACCGGATACCGTCAACGAAGAACTACAGAGAATCAGCGACGCCCTCAGGAAAAATGGCTATCCTGATAAATTTATCATGAAACATTTGAAGGAACGCAATCGAAAGCCACCTAGGAGCATTGCTCCTAAGAAAGAGCTTTTCATACACATACCCTTTAAGGGCGATTCTGCAGCTGATATGTTATCCAGACGCCTGAAAGACACTGTCAAGGAAACTTATTTCGCGGTCCGCCTGAGAATCGTTTTTCACAACAAGCCGTTGCTTACGATACCGTTGAAGGATAGACTACCGCCGTTGACCCATTCAATGATCGTTTATCAATACTGGTGCTCCTGTGGTGCACGATACGTGGGTCGCACGACGAGGCGCCTATCTCAGAGGGTTCGTGAACACATCCCGGCATGGTTTTACAAAGGTGAAATGAGGTCTTCAGACAGCTCTATCATGTCGCACCGCCTTGAATGTGGCCATACAGCTTCAGAGAATGACTTCAAAGTCATTTACTCACTATCTGAACACTACTCCCAAGGATTACGCAAACAGCTCTTATCCATCGCCGAGACTCTCTAAATTCACCATCTGAAGCCAGAATTATGCGTACAAAACGATTCATACGGCCGATACTACTACCTTGGCCAACGGACACTGTTACTTAGTTATTCGGCTGTTATCTTACCTACTTAATTACTTTGGACTACTGAGCTTTGCGTATACATGTGTACAAGTCATCAATTTTGATTATTCAAACAGTTCAGAAGTCAATCCCAGCCCGAGTTGACGCTTTCCCCACAATCACTGTTATGTAAACGTTTGGGTCCGATGAGAGTTTACCAAAAAGAATTCTACACCCTGAACTGATTTCTGATATTGATTCATATTAATGAAATGGGAATGTTTGCTTTGCTTATGACCAGCATTGCCCATGATTCATTGAAACTCCATGAGTTCCGCTGGATGCACGGGCCGCAATACCAAGGCGCAAGCGATGCTAACCTGCCTAAATACGTAATACCAAAGCAACAGTAGCATAAAAAAGGCAATTAGAAAGAACTAGTTCCTATCAACGTCGAATCTACAAAGGTCTTAAAACAGGCCTTAACTGGTGTACAAATAAATCGTCGACTTAGTATCCACAATGAGCAGCAAATCGAAGTAGAGGAAACCCACTTAAACAGCATGCTTTGGCAGATGTATGAAACCTTGTATCAGCTTCGACTAGAGATGGCCTGATCAGCGCAACCCACTCTTACCCATACCCGAGGGTGTGATATTACATAGTAAATGTTAAGAGAATGGGACTGAAATATACTATGTGTGCAACTGCTGAATGGGTCCGCGCCAAAGACAAAGAATTAGGGCTAAGCTTACTGTTGCCAATACTACAGCGTCAATCAACTCAGCTGCCTTCCATGTTAAAGATAAGAAGTTGTGTTACAAAGAGGTTGCTCTCAACGAATTATTGCTTTTGTATTCGCGTATGTCGCCGTCAGTCCTTTCTGGATGGACACTGACCAGATTTAAAATGTGTTTGGATGACGTACTTAGCCACTAACATTTTTTTTACCTAGCCCTATCTCTTCGTCCTACTCCTGGGAAATGTTTTAGCTTGGTCACGTGCGTCGAGGACATTGATTCGATTAACTCACCAACCCCGCGTTCTTATGGCTTAACTTCGCACTGAGCAATCAATAAATCATGTTTTAAATGGTGTGTCATGTGATTCACCTGCTTAAGGTTTGGTCGGATAAACTCGGGCTTGGACTCTCTTCTTGCCTGACCATGGTCCGGAGGCGTGCCTTGCTTAATTCCGTTACTACTTAATAATTTTTATTAGTTGTCACCTATTGATACTTTGAAACTTCGTGGTGTGCAGCACTATTGCATTACAAAGGATAAGTCATTCTTTTGAAAGTAAAACTACCAACTATTTTCAGGAACTTTTGCGATACTTCCTTCGAACCACCCAACTGGACTTTTAAAACAATGTTTCTTAACCCATATGAAGTCATTCTTCATTGAACCGACAACCGGTGTTACTAGCAGACGGAATTTCTGAGTTTCCATCTTATGATTTTATTTAGCCGAGAAATCAATGTGAGCGTGACAAACTTGTCAGCACGGTGACGATTTCAGACGCCAAGATGACTTTTCTAAACGATGACTAATTTTAAAATTTATGTGAGCGAATATAACTCATAAAAATAAAGTGTAATTGTAAGGGACGTTCTGCACCTATGCGAATCCAAGTATGGTTGGCCACAACTGCCCGATTTCCTGAGGATTGAAGATTCCAGGCCAATTAATAAGACCCACGCAAGTTGAACTATCACTGACCCACTAGTGAGAAAAAGGAAGATTCCGGAGTGTCCATGGCATCAGCCTCAAAGATGAGTTAATACGATGTTGGTCAAGTTGCTCTTTAGCAACACCCTAATAATGACAGCCCACTTGCTTATAACAACGGGGAGAAAAATATGTTTACAAGTATGTCAATATGATGACGGCTTAGTTTGCTTTTAGTCCACATCAGCACATGGTCAGATAAGGAATGGAATTGCGGCTGAAACCTTACTAGGCACACTAACCTACATGGGAGCAGGTTGCCATGAGACGGTCCTACAGAGGTTGGTGTTAGTTTACCTGAACCGCTGACTCTACTTGCATTTATTCACACTCTCTATTTTCCGTCTTTCTGTTGCACTTAGTTAACAAAACACCCCAAAATCTTTAATCGGAACTACATTGTAAAACTCGAAAATATTTTCCTTCCATCCAATTATGTTGTACAAAATGATCAGACATTTGGTTGTCTATCGCTTCGCATTTTCTTGGTATTATGACTTTTAATTAACGGTGTGGGTTAGTAATTTTCAATCAAAATTAAAGGTGAGGTTCCTAGGTAATATGTAGCCGAAGTGGACGAGAAATCCATTCACAGCATGCGAACAGTATGCATGTCCATCAGAATTAATGTTTTTTATGGGCAAGGTCAATATGTTAGTCGTTACTCATTGCTTGTTCGATATCCTTCTGGTTCCCGGACTCCCATCAGGATAGTTCAACGTTTATGTAACAAGGGCAGAGATAGAAATGCAGTAACATATCCTTTTGCGCCCAGTCGACGTCAGAGTACACTAACTGCCAGGCAGGCGCTTTGTAATTGGTCAAACGGAATTGTTGGTATTGTCACCATTCTCGTCAACCAGCAGAGACAACCTTATGAGTTATTCGTCACGAGCAGCTCTCAGCCAGCAACTTCGCGCATTTCCAAATGCACACTAGATGGTTGTTTCACTCTAATTGAGTTGTTACTAGTGCGGAACCGGAGCTGTGAGCCCTCAACGTTACTTACTCAGGACACCAAGCCGTGGGTGACGGCTGCAGATAGTCATCACTGTTAAGCTAACTGTGAAACAGTGTGGCTCATCCTACACTGCAATGCAAGTCACTGACTTCATGGGAGATAAAGTTGAACGCTAGATCTACGTGAATATGCCTCTCGGACATCATGCACCATTTAGTCTAGCCACTGAAGTTTCGACAGCCAATGGAGATGGTAGTTGTTACGTGTAAAATTGGCTAGTGAGAAGGATTGAAGTGACGCGCTACAGTACTCGGATTTCTTAGCCTTATCCATTGGAGTAAGGTCGGGGGAGTTAGGATATTGCAAACGAAAGGGATATTTATGTGTACCCATGAAGCAGTGTTGTTTCATGAATGTTGGTTGAAGCAACGGGGACTGGGGATTAATAAAGAGAATAAGGTCAGCACATGGCATCTACTACATGAAGAATAGCTTCAAAACTACTGTGAGCCAAGCAAATTTCGCGTCACACGTTCATCCAAGACAAAGAATGCTCATTTCATTTAGCGGTCTGCGATGAAATGCAGATAAACTCCGAAAATCCCTTCTCCCTATTTTCAGTCTAGTTAAAGCCGCTAAGCATGAAAACTCTGACCTTAAATCACCAATGGTTTTAAAGATAAACAACTGGTGCATTATGAAGGAGTAGCAAGAAAAGTTGAATTGTATAAGTAGAAATTCACCACTTCGTCAATTGGTGAGGGTGCAATCCTGTCCTCTGCACGACAATAATGCACAAATCAGGGGGGAAATGAGCGGCGATAGATAACACCTAGTAACTTAGTCTCGTCGGTAATTACCGTACCCCTCAGCCCAGTTGCTTTCACCAAATACCGATAACAATCGAGTTGCAGGTTTTATCTGCAAATATTCAGTTGGAATGTGCACGGCTGACGATTCCATAAAACCTGTAACGGTCGAACAGTGCTTTTACGGGTGAGTGACGACTGTCTGACTGAGTCCAGAAGTGATGAATTTTTACTTAAACCGGTTTATTATTTTCTTACCTTAACAGATGTGTGAATCGTAAATGTAAGTAATTCCCCAAGATCTCGAAGCGGCTTATCATTTCCTAGCTCAATAATCCGCTCAATAAGGTACATCACGGGATTTTCCTATCATTCTAGTTCCACTTGAACTTGAACAAATTGGTGGCGATATTTTTGGTTTATTCCATTTGATTACCATAGCCTGATTTAAACTACCCCCATCGCCGATCAACACCCTCTTGTAAATCCCGCATCAAGCACATAAAGCGTCAGATTTATATTTGTAGATAACAAATACCAAGCAAGTGATAATTTAGTGTAAATTACTGATCAAACGATGTGGCTTTCAATAAAGAAAATATGGAAAACCCCACACTTACTCCGACCGCTTTGAGGGAGTGCAATTGCCACGATGGACAACACAAGTATAACTGCAAGACATGCGAGTAAAATTGCGTCCAGTGGTGATATATTATCCACAGCCTTTGTCTCTCCATCACTAGCCATGCCATTAAATGAGGCGAGAAAGTTATCTATCCAGTCAGCGCGACAGAAGCAATGGAGTGCGTCAAACGCATGACTGCGTAACAGCCACAGGTGCTGTAGTTGCTATCAATGTATCGCATGTCCATTGGAGCATCGTGAAGCAAAGTTAGAGTACACGTGACCTATTGGCATGTGCACATATGGAATCACTGTGGACCGAAGACCACGAACAGAAAGACAGACTCATCAAGCGCCCTGAGAAGTGCAAAACGGTGGGCTCTTCATTCGTGGCGGTAAGGGCTGACGTGAATTCCTAAGCGACAGGGGCAGATGACTTGGCCCGATACTAATAGAAATGCGAAAATCCTCTCACCGTTATGGCTGCGAATTCGCGGCAGGGTTAAGTACTTGAGTAAATAATTAAGTAAGTAAGTAAGTAAGTAAGTAAGTAAATGTCGTCCTTATTCTATCCCTCATGTAAGTCGCGCTTGGATATAGTTTCACTCAAGCATGATTAATCACTGACTTGGCACAATGTAGTATCTTTATTGCACCTGCCTAGAACCGATGAGCCACGTCTAACCTACCTTTATTGGTCTTAACTCGGTTACATTTCGCGATGAGTTCACGTGTTCCCAACTACATTGTTGTACTCCTTATGATCTATGATATGCTTGCTACCTTTTCATGTGGAATCAAGTACGGTGACATACCGGGGCGATGAGCCACGGCATCGTACTCTTCACATTATTATTCGGCCGCGATTCACATCATTTTGTAACCTCCATGATGTTACTCACCGAACTATGCTACCTACATTCTGCTCCTTGAAATCGATTGGTAGATTACATGACTCTAGCTTGACCAGCTGCCAAATACCAACCAGCACGATGTTTAGGGAGCCGGTACATCGCTGCATAATGGTTCAGGCCATCCATGAGCTCATTCGTATTTGACGTGCGCGCGTAGTTTCCGAGTGAATTGTCTTGTTGCTATGGCTCAGTGCTAGGGTGACAAATTACTGAGTATGTTGCAAGTTCGGTGGTAAGGCGTGAATCACGGGTGACCAACGCTTGGCCGCTAGCAGTACCTACACACGGTGTAAAGTTTGACATTTGGAACACAATGCTCAACGATTGTCCTTCGTTTGACCACGTTGGACTATGTATCTGAAGAGAAATTGTCCTGGAAATTCCGTGGCAAGTAAAAAATCCCGACGATTAACCGGCCAGTGATTATCATGATGCCTAGAGTTCATGTCTCATTCAGCACGTTAGTGAAGAGAGTGAGCAGTTATATTTCCAGTTATTCATCAGCCATACTGAATTTACCGGGGCATATGAAGAAGTAAGCACTAAGCAAATAGAAAGCAGAAGCGCAGAGACGCTTACCAAAAGTGAAATTGAACCTGACAAATCTTCTAGATAGACTAATAAAGAGGATGTGCCAACGGGGATGGTATGTCAATGTCTTAGTATATTACATCGTAAAGGAATCAGCGCATAGCGACAATCGTTTTAGGAGCACCCGGGACGTACGATGCAGATCGTTACTTAGTTGCTTAAGCTACAGCAGAGTACACAGCGTTCTGTATTAACGCATGACAGCCATGCTACATCTTGGACATTTGCAAAACAATGCGAAGGCTGTTTGGAAAATCTATATTTGACAGCAGGCAGCGGGACCAACTTGATGTGGTGCGGCGATTGCTGTCGCCCCAAGGAGGCCGTAAGCAACCAATATGTGGTTGTGCCACCTAACCATGCTTAAGGATGCGCAATAATCGTTATTTGAGAATCTGTACACACCTCGGGCAAAAGATGACAGGACCGGTCGGCGACACGGAAAGCATGAAATGAACACCCCCATTGCATTTGCACGCTGTGCGATCTCCCTCCTCAGCAATGCCAACCAGAGTGTACATATAGTAGGCGGCAACTAAGGACACACTAGTTTAGTGTAACACTATTTATCATTTCACATGGTAACCATACTGATGGCAGTTGCTTCACTATTCCTATGTTGGTTTCGTTCAAATATGGATGCAGAGATTTTACGACTGTCATTTATGTTCAATTCTAAATGTTAACGGAGACATCAACCGTTCGTATTGGGTACATATTCTCATGCCTGCGAAAGTGGCTGTTAACCTGACGTCCAAACGGAACCCATGCGCGTTTGTAGTAGTATTGTTCGTGACATTTGATGTGTCTCTATCCAGTTTGCGGCAGTTTGTACTTAAGTTTGGAAATACGTAAGTGAATATGTTGTATTCGAAATGCCGTCGCACTCGGATGAGGACAATCCATGTATCTTTGTGTACCGAATGAAATCTACGAGGATACTCATACCAGTTTTGTACGGCAAAATAACTACAAGAAAGCGGCGCTCGGGCAAACCGAAAAGATTACCAAAACATGAAGAAGATGAGTTTATGACGAACTAATATTGATTACATGTGTTGAGAATCAAAGGTAAAGTTGCTCAGTGCGCATTCCGTGGACTGATCCAGAGCGCGGTTGTCCAGATGTAGGAGAAGGCACTATTGCACACAGGGAAAAACACGATGTGTATGCTCTTATTCGATTTACTAATCCACGCCAATAAGACAACATATGTGGTACGTTTGCCTGCGTGATGAGTAATCTTGCATTGCAGAAGTAGATGTTGCTTTAGCTCCCCGGTGTGGCTGCGCTTGATATGAATGTTGACAAGGCGCCTACCTGTCTAATACCCAGTACCTCGTCCATACTGGCTCCAGGAGACAGTTGGTCGTTGCTGGTGGGGACTGGGTGCACCGTCCTCGTGACAGTGCTAGGTTCAAAGAGTGGTTCCATCCTGTGTGGAATGGGCTACGTACGTCTAATGTGAATGGTTTCCCAATTAAATCGGAATGCTTCCGTTCTGCTTGTTGAAGGAGTGTGAGCCGGGTCCGTTGATGAAACGTGACTCCCACTCACCTGCTTTCCGGTCTTGTACGTTTGGGTTTACACCGGACATGGGGTGTTTGGGTGGAACTGTGGGTGATGCAGCGCAAGCACCCATGGTCCCTCTTTATGCGCAGGCGTCCTGTGGCTGACCACAGTGACACGCAAATCCGAAACCGGATACCGCCAACCAAGTAAGTTACTTCTTAAGTAAGTAAGCAAATCAGTAAGTACGTAAGAAAGTAAATAAGTAAGTAAGTAGGTAAATAAGTAACCAAGCAAGTAGGTAAGTAAGTATGTCTGTAAATAAGTATAGTATAGTAATGCATGAATCACCGGAGTTGTAATCTTCAATGTTGCCGCAAATCGGCATTGGTGCTGAAGTATTAGAAACCACCTCCCGCTCCAGCTACCTTGGTAGCGTGGTCCTGATCAGCAACTACATAGTGAGTTGCGTATTCGCGTGTCCAAGCCAGCGGCAGCATTCGGGAAGCTTGAGTACCGTGTCTGGAACAACCATCAGCTTACCACTGGCACGAAGCGGTTGGTGTATAAATCCATGGTGCTGTCCGTTCTTCTATACGGCAATGAAACGTGGACGATGTACCAGCAGGATGTGCGATATCTCGAGCGGTTTCATCAGCAGTGTTAGCGACGGATTTTGCGCATCGGTTGGGTGCGACAGAGTTGCTGACACGGAAGTGTTACGACAAAGTGGGATATATGCAGTGGCCTGCATACTTTTGCCGAGACACCTGAGGTGCATCGGTCATGTGAGCCGAATGGATTCAACGCGGATACCGAAACAATTCTTATACGGTCAACTGAGTATTGGGAAGCGGAATGCGGGGAAACCAAAGTTACGTTACCAGGGCATGATCAAAGTGAGTCTCTCACGTGCAAATCTTGTTTACATGTCATGGGAATCAAAGGCAGTTGATCGGCGTGCATGGCGCGATCTAATCACGAAGGCAGTTGCCTACGTGCGGGAGTAAGACCTTATACATGCAGAGAAGAAGCGGCAAGTGCGGAAGCGGCAAGTACCGATGGGTTTTACTCCATCGACATCGAGCGCATGGTGCTGTAGCACATGCGGTCGCGAGTGCTTGAGTCAGGCAGGCCTAGCGAGACATGAGCGAGGCCACTCGGGACCACTACCGATGCGACGACGGGTCCTGCAGAGAACGTAGGCAGAACCGGCGCAGCGTTTGTAGGTACGCTGCATTCGATTTACTAACCGCGTGCTTGCATGCTAAATCTCTTTATTTCAGGTGGTGGGTTTTCAATTTTGTTCTAATGCTTTTCTTTCTCAAATAAATATCCACCTGTACGCTCTTCTATAAACCTGTACACGTCGCTTAGGCCAATTGCAGTTAATTTCGATAACATGTTCGTGTTTGTGTCATTTCCGTAAAATATACTTTCTGAACTCCTGAATTTATCTCGGATCCTTTGTTAACAACTTGTTTCATATGCTCATTAATTTAAGATTTTTGTCACGTTTCCTTATGCGTTACTCCATTTATTTTATTTGTTATCTTACTCTCAAGTGATTGGCTGTTGCTTGATATCCCCGGTGTCGCTGCGCTTGATGGATTGCGGGTGATAGGCGGTAGTCCGGATGCGTTGACATCCGAGGACTTTGTGAAGATCGTTGAAGGTCGAGGATTCGAACTGCGGACCGCCGTCGGTAGTCACGGTGGCTGGACAGCCATGTGAAGCGACCCAGCGCTCAACGAAAGCGCGCGTTACGGTGTCCGCGGATACGTCGGGTATAGGTACGGCCTCGGGTCAACGGGTGTATCGGTCGATCATGGTCAGAATGTAGACCATTCCTCTGAATGGTGCCAAGGGTCCAACTATGTCAAGATGGACATGGGCGAGGCGAGCTGAGACTTTCGGAAAACGACCAAGCGGAGCGGACACGTGCCGCTGTATCTTGGCCTGCTGACACGTTAGACAACCGCGTGCCCAGCGCTTAAGATCGCGTTTCATTCTGAGCCAAACGTATCTCTCGCAAATGAGCTTGATCGTGACTCGGATGCCTGGATGAGCGATGTTATGGAGTGTGTCGAAAACTAGACGTCGAAAGGTTTCTGGAACGACGGGTCGAGGTCGTCCAGTAGAAGTATCGCACAAGATTGTGCCATCAGATGACGGCAGTGAAT